AAAATGAGCGACATGCAGGAATTACTCAATCGTCGTACAAAGTTTTGTACGATGACGTGGAAGAAAAAATAAACATTGTGTCTTCCTTAAACCCTAGAAAAACCCTAAGAATCCTTGGGGACCACCCCCAAAGGTTCAAACCCTAAAGGAAAGCCTATTCTTCTTTCAACCACTCGCAAACGCCCACCGATATTGCATGGTTATCATCAAAATAGAAAAAGGAAAGTAATGGAAGGATCATCCTTACCTCTTGAGCGTGGGGATTGAACTTTCTGCAGTAAACGTCAAGTGCAAACCAATTTGAAGGATGGAAAATCTGGTCTCACGAAAGCTCCTTGCTCTTTCTGAAAAAGTGAGTATTGTGACATTGCTTAAGGTGAGCCTAGGATTTTATAGTGGAGGAAGTGGCGATTGGTTTTCCCGAAGCCAAGCGACGTTTGGACAGAAATCATCTCTTACCATTGATCGCGACCACGTGTCGTCAATCAACAAGAAAAAGTAACCGTCACGCCTCGAGAAATCTAATCGTCCCTTATCTCCGTTGGAATAATCGACCGAAGGTTCGTTTCCCTCATCCACATTAAATGCGCTCTCATCCGTATTTAATGCTCTGATAAGGAATGTCGTTTCAACATGACTTACATTTAATGCGCATGGCTTACATTTAATGCGCATGGCTGACACTTATTGCACATAAGACATGTTTGTCAGAGTAACAGGTGCCTCATTAATGGTCAACGGATAACATCTGAAGAGGTCTTTAGGGCAAAACACTCTTCATCGCATGCTAGTTGCGAAGTAATGTGACTCCTCGCCTTCAGCAAAAATGCGCTAAGTATAACCAGGTCGCGGACCTCGGTTAAGATAAGAGGCGCATCAATATGGCACTAAATAGGGTTTGACCCAAGTCGTAGACCTTGCGGAAGGAGAACACTTCAGGTCGCCCTTAGGGAAATGTCTAGTAACCTCCCTACAACCAGGTCGGATCGATTAGGCATCATTCGGAGCATGGCAAGTCAAGGCATAATTGTGTAGTTCTTAAGGTTCGATTCGCAAACCTTAAAAACTAGGGGACTTCTGTTATGCCTGAAAAAGTAGGGCTAACGTGGAGTCTTTATGGGATGGTCAGAATTTAGGAAGGTTCCGCAACCATTCAGAAGCAGCCACATCACGTGATGATGTGAGCAGCATGCCCCTGTCAGTACAGTGGGTGAGTGCCAAGTCAGCGAATGGTTGGAAAACGTCCATGTGTCCAATCCCTGCATAAGTTGAGGAAATCACTTTGGTAGGTGGGGAATGGGACGCAAAGAAGGATTTGCACGGTATCCATCCCATTTGTAGATTTAGTAATCATTACCTTGATTCATCCCACTATAAATATGGGACTTCTCTCTATTTTGCGGGATTGGCTAATTTCACTCTGGAATAGCATACCCTCTTTCTCTCTCCCCCTCTCCCTCTCTCTCTTTCTTGTATTCTCTAAGTTGTAACTTAGCTCGTTGAACGCGACCTGACCTTACTCTCATCAATACAATATCAGTGGACGTAGAATTTTCCTTAGAGCATCTGAACCACTTTAAACATTGTTCTTCACTCTTTACTAAACTAAATACTTCTCTAACCATGTGTGACTTCTAATCCCGTTTAGCATTTCTCACATGCGAATAGTTGGTGTCAAAATCAAGCATCAACATAGATGAACTCATGATGTTCCCACATTGAATGGGATATACACAAGAAAACAGGAAAAAAAAATGTCGTTGATTGCTTATTAGGGACAACTTGAAATCGTGCATGTAAAATTGAACAAATCTTGTCTAACATGCAACCCCTCATTGGGTGGTTGTACATGTAACAAAGGATCTGGGCTAGCTTGTGCGTTCCTCGATCTGCTTCAATCTTGAGAGCCAATGGGGTTCAAACCTGATACCGTGCGCCTAAACCACACATTCCAACATTTGTCCTGTCACTTGAGATACCTAATGGTGGGTTTGTTCTTTGTATATGAAGCTTGTAAGTATTTCACATTATTGTTTACTTTTTTCTTTTTTTTCAGTGTAGAACCCCGGAACAATAATTAGAGATCTATTATCATTGTAATGATAATAATAATAAAGTTAAATATGTAAATCTTTTTATTGCAAAAGAAATTCCGTTTGATATAGAATTTAAATACAATTTTTGGTTTTCGAAAATAAGAAATACTACAATTCTTATGAAAATGTGTTTAATAAAAATAAATTTAATTGTTTTAAAACGAATACAATCCTAAAAACTAAGTTTTCTATAATTTTTACTCTTAAAACAATTCTTAAATATTATATCAAACACATTTTAAAATATTAAGATAAAACTAAAAAAATTAAATGGTACTGTAGTTTTTTTTTTTTTTTTTATCACAAGTAAAAAATAATCTAAATTATTCGATAGCAAGTTAATGGGGATAATTAAATAAGATGTGAGAGTTAACCCCAATTTGGAGTTCAAAATAAATTGAATTTCCTTTTAAGAGAAATATGTTCATAAATACATACCAATGATTTATTTTTCTTCCTAAAGTTGTTAAAGTGTCAAATGATTCACTAAAAAAATTCAATTATTGTCCAGTAAGGTTCCCATTTATTAAACCGACAATTTTGAAATCCAATTCCCCTTTGAAAAGTCTCTTGAATTTACACATGAAAAGTCATATACCATCTTTAAGGACCAAAATGCAAGGTGAGATGATTGGGCACGTGCACTATTTTTATTTGCTGCGTGCCAACCATTAACTCTCAAACTTTGACCTTCTTCAAAGTTCTAGGAGAAAGAAGAGAGAAATTATTTTAGTCCTTTTGGCTCCGATAACTATTTATCAAGGACATCTTTTCCAAATACTATCATTTTAGTCTTTGACTTAATAGACTGTTAGTTGACCATTTATTGACTTGAAAATTCATATTGAAATTACGAAAATACCCATCTAAAAAATAATAAGAAATGTATAACAAACACATTACACACATTAGTATTGTCTATGTAATACATTTTCATTATTTTCTATAAGGATATTTTCGCCATTTTAATATTTTTAAAGTTAATTAATAGTCAACTAATGGATTAATATGTCAAATGACTGAAATACCCATTAGCATAATTCAAACTCTTTCCTTATGAAATTATTAAACAAACACATTTATACATAGTATTGTTTGTGCAATGCATTTTATATTTTTTGTAAAGGTATTTTTATCATTTCAATATATTTTTCAAAGTTAATTATAAAGGTATTTGAAATGAATGTCCTTAATAATAATTTATCGAAACGATAGGAATGAAATTGAAATTCTCTAATTCTAAGAAGAAGAAGGAATTGTAGACTCCTTCCTATAATTCTCAAGGTGGCGGTGGCGTAGCTTCTTGGTAACTTCATCACTTCACTTTCTTTTCTTCTTTATTTAGCTTTTAATTAAATAATTTTATAATCCCATTAAATTAAGCTTGAAAAATCAGCTTTAAATCACTTAATTACTAATTTAATTTAATTTGCATATGCAAATGTTGAAGAGAGGAGACACATTCAGAGAATCATTTGAGTTGTGTGGAACCCACTCCCATTTTAATTCCTCCAAAGTTTTTTGTCCTTAAATAATTTGTGGGCACTACTATTTAATTCAATCCCTTCTTTTATTCACTTCGACACTTGTCACTTGTCACTTCTCAATAGAAAATTTGCTTTTCAATTTATTCTGTAACCCAGGCATCCAATATTTCAATACTATTACATGTAAAAACTCATAGTAAATATAGAAGAAAACTCCAAACAAATTATTTATGGTTTGAATAATAAATGTAGTGTTATAACCATAAATTAACATTATTTGATACTTAAACTTGTACTTTTTTTTATTTGTGATTCGAGGTATCCGAGTCAGTCGCTTGCGAGTAATTCAATTAATCTCTTAACGCCCTCAAGTTGATAACCAAATGAGCGTTTGTGAGAACTCAAACTCACGAGCTAATTAAATCTCTTTTTATTTTTATACCATCAGACCATCCAATGGTGGTTAATTTGTACATTCTCAATTTATGCTTTTAGGGCAAATAATAAGATATAAAATCAGATAAACTTTTTGCATTATTATTTAATTGAAATAAAATTATATTTTTTTTAAGAAAATTGTAGTTTTTTTTTTTTTTTAATATTTGATGTAAATCCCAAAATCTCGTAAAAGCAAATGTAAAATCACTTTCAAGTCATGTTTGTTCTTATCCGCAGGTGAAGGCCAATGAACGGCCAAGAATATCTAATCATGTTGACTCACATTGTCTACCGTTAATCCGTAAATCTTCCAACATGACAAACGAAAAGGAACGGTCATGATCGACGGGTTGACTATCTTTATGTCCCACTCACCAACACAATGACACACGGATTGTTGATAAATGGAGTCAGTGGAGCTCAATTTTTCTTTTTCATTTTCTCTTTTTCTACCATGCTCCTGTTAGCTCAAGCGCAGAAACAGAGCATCTAAGCAATCTTGCATCTGGGTGAGCCTCAAAATCTTGTGTTTTTAACTTTTCTTTTTGAGTTGCATGCATTTTTTTAGTGGTTAAATATGGTAAATCTTGCTTTTTTTTTTTTTTTTTTTTTAATGTTTTAGCTTGGTTTTTCAACATGGGTAGTTCAGCTTTTGTGAGATCTTTTGATGTTTACTGGTTAAGTTAATCTTTTTAAGTGAAGAGAAATGAGATTTTTTGGTTTAATATAGTATAAATTGTGAAATGATATCTGGGGTTTTGTATTAGTATTTAAAATAAATGAANGTAAAAGCAAATGTAAAATCACTTTCAAGTCATGTTTGTTCTTATCCGCAGGTGAAGGCCAATGAACGGCCAAGAATATCTAATCATGTTGACTCACATTGTCTACCGTTAATCCGTAAATCTTCCAACATGACAAACGAAAAGGAACGGTCATGATCGACGGGTTGACTATCTTTATGTCCCACTCACCAACACAATGACACAAGGATTGTTGATAAATGGAGTCAGTGGAGCTCGATTTTTCTTTTTCATTTTCTCTTTTTCTACCATGCTCCTGTTAGCTCAAGCGCAGAAACAGAGCATCTAAGCAATCTTGCATCTGGGTGAGCCTCAAAATCTTGTGTTTTTAACTTTTCTTTTTGAGTTGCATGCATTTTTTTAGTGGTTAAATATGGTAAATCTTGCTTTTTTTTTTTTTTTTTTTTTAATGTTTTAGCTTGGTTTTTCAACATGGGTAGTTCAGCTTTTGTGAGATCTTTTGATGTTTACTGGTTAAGTTAATCTTTTTAAGTGAAGAGAAATGAGATTTTTTGGTTTAATATAGTATAAATTGTGAAATGATATCTGGGGTTTTGTATTAGTATTTAAAATAAATGAAGATTTTTATTTTTTTTGGATATTATTGTAATTTTTTGATTAATTGGGGATCCGGACTTAGTTTTAAAGAAAACGGTATTACTTTGGCTGTTGAATCAAGTTTGTTCCTTTAGGTGAATCTCTTAAAGGAAGATTGATGGATTTTTCAGATTGTGTTATGATATTGACTTTGATGGGAAAAAGTTGGATTTTTATGTTATGTGTGATTTTGAAGCCAACAAGGATTTTGAGATCAAATGAGTCTTTTTATGTTATGTGTGATTTTGAAGCCAACAAGGATTCTGAGATCAAATGAGTCTTTCTTGAAGTTGTTGTAGGTAATTGCGATTTTCAGGCTTTTTTTTTTCCTCTAGTTTTTTTAAGATTTTGGGTAATGAAGTTTTGTTGGAGATCATGCTTATGCCTTTTTCCCTGTTTATTTCTCTGATTTTAAGTAAATGGTTTGATGTGAAAATTATTGTAGTTTTTTCTTTTCTATGTCGAGATTTGCAACAAATTTTTGTAAGTAATTTGTGATCTGGAATGAAATTTTAGGTGTGAATTGCAATTGGATCGAAAAACTTGAGAAAAGGTTTTCGAAATGGATCTTAAAGGGAGTTTATGTGCAGACACTTGGGGGAAGTCTTCTTCCTCCTCAGGTGAACTACCAAAAAGGATGTCTTCTAATAACTCATCTTTTGCTGATTTCGATTCGCAGCAGCCTCAGCAGAAGTGGGAAGATCAGATCATATTAGATTATGGCATGAGGATGAATTCTCCCTTCCCGGAGTTCAACCAACCGCAAACCCAGTCTCCGCTTCCTTGTAACTCCAGTAACCAAATTAAATTCCCAGTTCAGATGAATGAGGGACTCCAGGCCAATAAAACTGAAGATTGGGATCCGAAAGCTATGCTAAACAACCTCTCGTTTTTGGAACAGAAGATCCATCAGCTTCAGGATTTGGTGCATTTGATTGTAGGCCGAGGAGGCCAAGTGTTGGGGCGACCAGATGAGCTTGTAACTCAGCAACAGCAGCTCATCACTGCCGATCTCACTTCAATTATCGTTCAGTTAATCTCTACTGCCGGTAGTCTTCTCCCATCTGTGAAGAACAACCTTTCAACTGCCGCTCCTTCCATTGGACAGCTTGGGCAGTTTACTGGGGTTCTTTTTCCCCCAGTGGATGACCTTAAAGGTGGTGTTCAGCCACAAAATAGTTCTGGGAGAAAAGTTTCGAACAATCTAAACCATGTTGATCTTGGTGGCAATTGTGTGACTGAACAGAACCACACTGTTGAAGAGCATGAATTAAAAGACGAAGAAGATGCCGAAGAAGGAGAGAACCTTCCTCCTGGTTCCTATGAGATCTTACAACTAGAAAAAGAAGAAATCCTTGCACCTCATACTCACTTCTGCACAATATGCGGCAAAGGATTCAAGAGGGATGCAAATTTACGAATGCACATGCGAGGTCATGGAGATGAGTATAAAACTCCAGCAGCGCTTGCAAAGCCTCACAAGGAATCCGGCTCTGAACCGATGCTTATTAAGAGGTATTCCTGCCCTTATGCTGGTTGCAAGCGGAACAAGGATCACAAAAAATTTCAGCCTCTGAAGACTATTTTGTGTGTCAAAAATCATTACAAGAGAACCCATTGCGACAAAAGCTACATCTGCAGCAGATGCAACACGAAGAAATTCTCAGTTATTGCTGATCTTAAAACTCATGAGAAGCATTGTGGCAAGGATAAATGGCTCTGTTCTTGTGGCACCACGTTCTCGAGGAAAGACAAGCTATTTGGACACATTGCACTCTTCCAAGGCCACACGCCCGCCATTCCCCTCGATGAAACCAACAAAGGACTTGCAGGGCCATCTGATCGAAGAGAAGGCAATGAAGCAACTAGCAAAATTGGCAGTAGTATAAATTTCAACTTCAGCTCCAATGTTCCTACTGGAAATGGGACGCAAAATGATATGGACACCAAAGGGAGTACTGATGATTCAGCCAGTTTTTTCTCATCGTTGAATTTCGATACATGTAACTTTGATGGGTTTCATGAATTCCCTCGACCTCCATTCGACGATTCAGAGAATCCGTTCTCTTTCCTTATTCCAGGGTCTTGTAATTACATTCCGAAAACTGGAGGGGATTCGAGTTTGAATACTCTCAAGTAATATTTACTAAGTTTAGGTTATTGCTTGCTTTAGGATTATTATAATTTCTGTCATATTTGTAAGTCAAGGTGATCCCATATTCATGTAATTGGTTGATCTTAAATAAATGTTCTCTACCATGAGTTTGTTAAATTATGAAGAAAACTAGAGGGAAATCTACTTCTCCAAGGTCCAGAAAATAAGCAGGTTGAAAAACTCGGATGAGAGAGACGTATCTCCATTCATCCAATTATTTAACACGCACTGAATGGAAGCAAATCCGAATATTTTTCGTGTTACAAAGTAGGTTATTTTCACATTTATGCAGTGGTGAGTTGAATCGATTATCATTTCATTGAAGAATATAAAGCTTTGGTGAGCGCTGGTGGATGCAACAACACATCAAAACTAGAGATTTAAGAGTATGGCCCCATTTCTGATGAATAATTGTGCTAAGGCAGGTAGCAAGTCCAAATGGCAAAGCAAATTGCTAGTAAGGAGTATATGACAGTTTTCTTGTCATGTATGAATAGTGAAATATTCGAATATCAATTCATAGTGAAATATTTGAGGATGAGTCTAGTAAGTCATCACAAGTCTATCCAGTCTCCTTGACACCCTTATAAACATACTCCAACGACAATGGCCGAAAGAACATTTTTCTTTTTAATTGTTTAAATGTAAAGTTATTGATATAATTTATATTGAAAAAAATGAGAATGGATAACCTGATACTCAACCTATCCCAATTCAACCCCTTCCCATATTTTAAATAATGGGTTGAAATGGATTAGACAAAATTTTTATGGATTGAATTGGTTAATGTTTTAAGCCATCACAGTCCACCAATTTGTCATCCCTGTATTGACAAGCCTACGTTATATCATGAAAATGCAATGATATAGGTGTGATTGCATTTTCACAATTATTATTCTTACAGGTGGATAAGTATCCTTCTTTCACCATTGAAACAAAACACTCACCCTATGCCTTTTCAAAATACATTAAATACCAAACTGAAAATTATAATTGTTCTTTCTTTTAAGCCTTTTTAGCCTTTTTTTTATTGATTTTTTTTTTCTTTTTTTATGTCCAACGGGGAATCAAACTTGAGACTGTGGGTTGAAGTTATGCACAATCCCCTTGGTTAGTCCTTACCACTAGGCTACGAGCTACTCATAGGTGAGTCTTTTAATTGAATTTTCATAACAGAATAATCTGATTTGTCGGATTTTAGTTTCATCTCATTTGTTGAAAAAAAATTTTGATGCCGAAATCCAACAATTGCCAATAACTTTTTGTAATTTCTTAATAATTGATTTAAATTTTAAGTTAAAGAATAAACATTAAGATTTTAAATAAATTAATTGAAAAATAAATAAAAATTAAGAACATATAATGATACCAAACAACCGATTATATTTTGAAGAGGATTGTATATATTTATTTTGACCAGTCGCGCCTTAAATATTGATGAATATACCCCCATTTAAATTAAAAGATGTCAACCCACAATCTTAGGCAAAGTCATTTTTTTCTTTTCCAATTATCCTTATTAATAAATACTTAATATAATTTTTAAGTTAAACAAATCAACTAGCATTATCTCTTAGGAATAATTACATTTAGATTGCTGACATGTTTGGCATTAGGCAATTATAAGCTTAGAAATACATACTAATTGAACTTCTTAACAAAATTTATTATTGAAAATGAATATACAGTAGAATCTCTCTATGATCATAATAATGGGACCAAACAATTTTATTACTATAAAGAGGTTATAACTTAATAAAGTTAGTTATCTTTAGTGCAAGTAGTATAGAGGGAAAGTATGCACTAATCGGATCAATATTAATATCTTTTTCAATCATCCAAATGAGCAACAAGTCGTGTATGTTTTAACTGAAAAAGAAACCATTGCTCCCATTAGATAAAAAGAGGAAGGAGATAATCCTAAGGATGATAATATGAAAATACAAAAAGTTTCGTGCCAAGAAACTCTAAACATGCTTGAGAACCTAAAAATATTTTGGCTTCAACAAAAATGTGTCCATTCTGGTGAGTTATTACGTAAATTATTTTAAAATCCAGTTCGTTCCAGCTAGTTCAACCGGGACTCAGAACCTTCATCGAGCTAGGTTACCAATTTTCCTATTCACCGAAAACCCTAGAAATTGGGATGGTAGTCGGCAAACAATTAAAGGGCGTGATGTTGGGGATTTTGATGAGAAAGGACCGGTGAGAGAAATGGTGGTGATAAAGGTGATTTCTGGTGAGTGCATTGATCAGAAATCGAAAAAAACCCACGAAGACATCAACCAGCTTTTGCCAACGTTTGGCGAGGCAAATGGGGGTGCGGTGAGATAAGTTTTGGTCAGGAGGTCGAGGAGAGTATTTTTATGGTGATGGAGAGGGTTGTCGATGCCGATGGTGGTGAGATCTGGCCTAGGTTGTCGACGCTGATAGTGGTGAGATTTGGCCAAAATCGAATCAATTTCGACCAGATCTTGGGTAGATTTTCTGGGAAATGGCTCAAAGGATGATTGAAATTGCATTTGGTGTGTCGTTGTCGCCAACCAGTCAACCGCCGATTTGTATTTAGGGTGTGTTTGCTAAATTTCAAACCTGTAGGGACTTAACAAATTTTTAGGGGTGTATTTGCTAAATTTTGAACTTTAGGACACTCGGTTTGATCGGTGATTGAACCGGTCAACCCAAGACCAGGCAACTTTGCCAGGTTTCACCTTGGATTGGTTATTAAAACATTGATTATGTATTCATAAGTTCAAAGATGTGGTAACAACTCTAAAACATAAATCATTGATTTAAACAATTTTAGATAAATATTTTATTTCATCTTAAACTTTTGATGTAATATAACATATATTTTTTACAATATATAGACAATTATTACTATGTGGAAGCAAGTTTCTTAAGATGAGATCTAAAAAAAATCATAATTCGTTAAAATATGAAGTTTATTCTTATTTATAACTTGTTCAAGTATGGACCAAATTTTTTTATAACTACATAGATGTTATATATATATATAATATCACTATATAAAAGTTATATTATATATTGTTATAAACAACTCTCTCAAATCTAATAAAAAACAACAACACAATAATAACAAAATAGTCTTAAATATTTATTATTTTAAAATCCTAATATTATACATGTAATAATTACATTAGTAAATTGTATGTATAACGATTTCTCCCCCTCATCAATATATGTATGAGGGCTTCTTACTGTTGGACGTTGGTGAATGCTTAAAGTTTCATGTTTTTATTCAACTGGAAGTTATTATAGCTTCTAATAGTTAAATTTTATTTTCTGTTATATATTCAAATATTTAACTTTCTCCCATATCTTAATTTTATGCTAATTTTATAAGCTTTTGACAATATTTCTTTTCTCTATAATTACAAAACTTGCTCAAAAAAAGCTCGAAGATTAATTTTGTAATTGATTTCTTGCATGTCTCTGTAATATCAACTTATAAAAACATTGGCGAATTTTTTTTTTTTTTTTTTTAAAGTAAAGAATCATATGAATTATGAGAGACATGTTGATTCATGCATTTTGAATTGAATAATAATGAAATAGCAATTTTCATTTGAATTTCTTATTATTGCAATAAGAAATTTATTCCTCACCATAAATAGTACTTGTGTGATTTTTTAGAACCTATTAAATAAATAAAAATATATTAATTTTTCTTATCAAATTGCTATTAGTTTTTTGACATCCACAATAAATAAGAAACTACTTGTATTGTTAAAAATAATTCTTCACTAAATTTCTGTCTATTGCTTTTTGCATGACGAATTATAATAATTATTAGAAAGAAGTAGACAGCGTCTTATTATTCAATATTTTTATTTTATTTTTTTCACAAGTTTCAGTTAAGAATACAAGTGAAAATAATTATATATATGGTTCTTTCATATTAAGGTCCAAGCAAGAAAGTTTTTAATTTTAACTGCTTTTATAAAGTTTCAAGAAATGAAAAATATAAGTTAACAATATAATGATACATCAAATACCCTATTATATGCAATATAATTGTATAATATATTACTAATACAAACATACACGATATTGTACAATAAAAATATTATACTGTATGATACAATCATCACAAAATGTGGCCTTAATGATTGATAAGTCAATCACAATTTAGGGGGTTATTGTTTTTTAGGGGGTTCCCTATAATATTAAAATCTCACCTGGCCCGGCCATGGTATTCCTGGGCCTGAATTTCCAGGCCAGGTATAAATTATGCCTAGAATGGGTTTTCTTAATCCCTAAATTTGCTATCACTTTTATTTTTTTTTTTTCCTGGAATCAGTAGAAATGTTTGAAGCAATACAGAAGACAAAAAATAAAATAATCATCAACACCATTGCAAGAAATCCATGGATTTATGAAAGAAAGACAGGGTTGTCACACCCCAAACTACAAAGAATTATCAGTGTGCAGAAAATTTACTCAAAACATGGTACATTGCCCAATTATAAAGAAATCTAGTTTCAGTGTTACATTTCATCAGCCAGTGTTCAATACATCGATTTCTTTTTGCAATCAAGGGCGCAAGCAAGGTTGAAGGATGATTATATAAAGCTCAAGAGTCAGCAGCTTGCTCAAGGGATGATTCACACCATTGATGAGTCGGGGGAAGAAAAGGAAAGAGAAAACTGTAAATCTACCAGCATATAATTGTGATCTCTGAGGGGAAGAAGCAACTTAAAGATGAAAGTGACAAAAAATACTATAGTGCTTAACCCGGAGAATGATGCATAGCAATGATTATTAACTGCTTGTTACGAGAAACTCTGCACGGTGTCGAGCTCAGCTTTCTTCCATCTAACGATCAGGTAACAAAGGAGAAGAGGGTGTTTACCTGGGAAAGGAAAATTTGAAGAGAAATGTTTAGCCAAATACAGAAACTACTTGAAGTTGGGAAGCATGAAAAGAAAAAAAGAAAAAAGAAAACAAGAGTAATAAGTAGGCTATACTGACCAATATAATGATTGCAATGACAAGAAGGTCCAGACCAGAGAACTGAGAGAAAAAAGACCATGTGGATCAAAATAGTTTTGAGTGGCAAAGCTCCTCCAGTTCTTGTCAAGGATTCGATTGAG